GTGGAAGAACTAGAAAGTACCAAGATGAAGGTTTCTAACTTTCAAGAGGCCGTTACCCCTATGGAAGATTAGAATCTTAGACATAAACTATTTTTCTAGTTGAAATTTAGATAATGTGGCCGAATTCCACCTAGTGCCGAACCCCCTTGTGTTTTTGGTTAATTTTGAACAATTTTCCTTTATGTTTGAATTATTTGTTGGTGATTTGCTTTTGGATATTAAGTTTTTAATTAATTTCCGTCCTTGAATACTTAAAATTACTGGTGGGGAAGTTAGTTATCTGGTAGATAGTGCAACCACACACACCATTTTGCATGAACACATCTATTTCACTAACTTCATACCCAAGAATGCACCTCTGACAACCCTCTCAGGGCCATCCAACCTGATTGAAGGATACTATAAGGCACGTATAATGTTGTCTATTGGTACAATTTTGACCATTGATGAAGCACTTTATTCTCCGCGTTCCGGAAGAACGTTGTTGAGTTTTAAGGACATCAGAGATAATAATTACCGCACTGAAACCCATGTAAAAAACGAAGTTGAATTTCTGTGTATAACTTCCTACGAATATGGCCAGAAGTGTATTCTAGAGAAGATAGTGCGTATCTCGAGTGGTCTGTATACTACGATCATATGCCCTATAGAGAGCCACTATATGGTCGGCCTTACCTCTGGGACCGCACACGACATTACACTTTGGCATGATCGTTTGGGACACCCTGGATGAATAGCGATACGCCGTATCCTCAAATCATCACATGGGCATCCATTAACTAGAAGTTTAGGTTCGATTCAAGGAATCACATGTCAAACATATTCAATGGGAAAGCTTATTACTAAGCCTTCCTATGACAAGATTCGCTTGAATCCTTCCATTTTTCTACAAAGGATTCAGGGGGACATTTGTTAACCAATTCACCTTCCATTTGGACCATTTAGATATTTTATGGTTTTGGTTGACGCTTCCATACGTTGGTCACACGTGTGCTTGTTGTCCACAAGGAATGCTGTATTCTCCAAACTGTTGGCTCATGGCTCACCACCCTGATTTTCCGATCAAATATATTCGATTGGATAATGTTGGAGAATTCACACCAAAAACTTTTGATGACTATTGCATGTTGGTTGGGGTTGAAGTTGAACATCCAGTACCTCACGTTCACACCCAGAACGGCTTGACAGAGGCATTCATTAAGCGCTTACAAATGATTGCTCAATCGTTGGTCATACGTACTAAGCTCCCGATCGCTGCTTAGGGCCATGCAATATTGCACGCAGCCATGTTGGTCTACCTGAGGCCAGGTTGTCTATTTGCTGATTTTGCCACCCTTAAGTACAAAAATTAGGCCTTAGCGAATGATGAAAATCTATGTTGGATATGATTCTCCTTCGATTATTCGTTACTTAAAACCCTTGATAGGTGATCTGTTTACCGCTCGTTTCACGGATTGTCACTTCTATGAGACAGTTTTCCCGTCGTTAGGGGATATAAGAATTTCAACGTTCTTGAAGAATGACACGAATTATCGTGGACGACTCTCACTTTGTCTCATTTAGATCCCCTCATTGGTCGGTCTGAAATTGAAGTGCATCGCATATTAGATCTTCAAAGCATAGCTTAGAGCATGTCAGATGTTTTCACCGATCCAGTGCGAGTGACAACATCACATATTCCAGCTGGGAATGTGCTTGTAAAGACGGATGTACCAAATGTACGACGGACTTCCCTCCTAGAGGCCCAGGATGCCAACTTTGGTGATCCATATACATTAGTAGCTAGCCAATCATCTTCCTTTACACAAAAGCGTGGCAGACCTTTTGGTTCAAAGGATTCACACCCCTGGAAGAGGAAACCCACGACATAGGCCCTTGAAGAGCCTACCGTGAATCCGACAGTCGCTTACTCATTCTATCAAACTTATGAGGAAATTCTAGATGACGGAAGCATAATTGAAGAGACGAATCCACCTCTTGAGAATCGTGAGATTTCGATATATTATGCTAGCTTAGATGATGTGTGGTGTAGAAATGAAATGATCGTCGATGATACATTGGCATATGCAGTAGCTATTAAGATCATGTTGAGTGATGGCATTAAACCCCGTTATGTTGATGAATGTCGACGTAGAACCAATTAGTCAAATTGGAAACAAGCAATCCAAGTCGATATTGATTCGCTTGCGAAACGTAAAGTGTTTGGACTTGTATCTTCTACTCCTCCACATGTGAAGCCTGTTGGCTACAAATGGGTTTTTGTTCAGAAGTGTAATGAGAAGAACAAAAGTGTGCATTATAAAGCTCGTCTTGTTGCACAAGGCTTCTTACAACTCCTTGGGATTGACTATGATGAAACTTATTCACCCTATGGATGTGATTACTTTTAGCTACCTTATCAGTTTGGTAGTTTCAGAAAAGCTGAGTATCCACCTGATGTACGTAGTAACTGTGTGTCTCTATGAGGATCTTGATACAAACATTTATATGAAAATTCCCAAAGGATTTACATTGACTGGATCAAATATTTCCAAACCCTGGAACACACTCTCAATTTGGCTGAGGTGTTCACTCTATGGTTTGAAGCAATCCAAAAGAATGTGGTATAACCGTTTGAGTGAGTATTTGGCTAGTTAGGGATATGTGAACAACGAATTATGCCCTTGTGTTTAAGAAGTCACATTTTGGTTTTGCGATAATTGCAGTATATGTCGACGACATGAACCTTATCAGAACTCCTGAAGAGCTCGCGAGAATTGTCGGGCACCTGAAGTTGGAATTTGAGATGAAAGATCTAGGAAAGACTCGATACTGTCTTGGTCTCGAGATAGAGCACCGTTCAGATGGAATCTTAGTACATCAAGCAAACTACACCCAGAAGGTGTTGCGCCGCTTTAACGAAGATAAAACGAAGCCTTCGAGTACTCATATGATCGTTCGATCGCTAGATGCGAAACGAGATCCTTTTTGTCTGAATGAAGATGATGAATAGATTTTGGAGCCTGAAGTTCCTTATCTAAGTGCAATAGGGGCATTATTGTACTTAGCTCAATGCACTAGACCTGACATCTCCTTCACTGTTAATCTTTTGGCAAGATACAGTACTGCACCAGCATGCAAACATTGGACTGATGTTAAAGACATCTTTTGCTACCTTAAAGGTACTACGGATTTGGGCTTGTTCTATCCCTACGAATCCTCGAGTGATGCCGCACCTCTTATCTCAAGTCGATTCTCGCCTTATTGGTTATGCCGATGCAAGATACTTATCTGATTCATATAAGACGCGCTTTCAAACGGGCTATGTTTTTACCGTTGGAGGCACCACAATCTCTTGGAGGTCAACTAAACAGACCTTAGTTGCCACTTCATTTAACCATGCTGAAATTCTCGCCTTACATGAAGCAACTTGGGAATGCTTTTGGTTGAGAGCAGTTATGGACTATATTCAAAGCTTCTACAATCTTTACCCCGTTGTGGATGTCTCGACGTTGATTTATGAAGACAACTCAACATGCATCGAACAACTCAAGAAAGGTTACATCAAAGGAGACAACACCAAGTACATTGCACTGAAGTTCTTATTCTCACATCAACAACAAGAGCATCAGAAGATTGAAGTCACGCAAATTCGTTCACAAGACAATCTAGCAGACCTCTTCACCAAATCACTACCGAAGACAACGTTTCATAAGCTTATTCATGGAATTGGTATGTATAAACTTTCTGAGTTGTAACATTGCTAGTTCTCTTTGAAATTGTGTCAAACTCAGGGGGAGTATCCTGAAGTATACTTGCTTGATCTTAATGTACTCTTTTTCCCTACGATTAGGAGCTTTTTTCCCACTGGGTTTTTGCTACCTAACTAGGTTTTAATGAGGCACCCACCATGGGCTGATCATATCCCTGATGACATCCCATAAACGTTTCATTTGACTTTGCATTACTCACACATTTTTCCTTAGACTATGGATTTTTACCACAGCCATAGGGTTTTTTTTTTGTGAGACTTACTTCCTTATACAAGTTCCTACCTTATTGAGAATAACATGTTCCCATAATTAGTTCCAAAAAGTTGACTTCCTCAACTTCTACATGATGTTGAATCTACCTTGAGTATTTACAAACTCAAGGGGGAGTGTTGTAAACTTTCCTAGTTTAAGTGTGATTGTGTAAATCATAGATTAGATTTGATTCTAATTATTATTTCCTATATGGACTTGTATTCCTTGGTGATGAAGGATTTATTCTCCCTTTTATTACTATAAATAAAGGCACTATGTAGGGGGAACAACACACATTCCTCTACACAATTGTACAAACACATCTCTATCTCTTCTCTCTTTGCCGCCGGCCCTCTTTTCTTTGTCAGATAAAATAGGTCACAACAAAATTTAATTTTTTGTTCAAATTTTAGTTAATAATATTACAATATATATAAGTATGTAATATTATATTATCTTATTAATACTGGTTCGGTACGGTGTTACCATTGATAATGATTTTGAATATCATTACCTACCGGAAATGTATGATTCGGACAATTACCGTACCATTGCCATTTTGTACAAAATTTCGGTACAATTTGATATGGTACGGTAATTCGGTTGGCATGGTATACCAACCGTCCATCTGGTTATTTGCAAACACCTCCCTTGTCCTTATGGATTGGGATTAGTTAAATTTGTACAAACCCAACCTCTCCTTGAATTCTACTCCTCCAACCCAAGCATGTTTTAAACCGAAGTGAAACAACATTCAATTTGTGGTCTATTGAACTTCGCCCATTTCCAGCCTAACAATGTTGGTCCCACAAACGTTCTTTTCACAATTTTCCACGTGTTCTTAATCATAGAATGTGGAACCCACACATCAATTAAGTGGGTCCAATTCAGAGAACTCTACTACATAAACGACTCGGATTCAGTTCGAATCTAGTAGACGACAAATTCGATGCTTGTACCTTAACCAAACATTTCACTCCTCCTAGTGTAAAATATACAGTAAAATATAAACATCCCTACCCTTCATCCCTCTCTCTGCGGGAAGGAAAAAGAGAAAGCAAAATGCAGACTGTGAAGAACTTGAAGATGTTTTTTAACTGTAAATAACTGAATCAGTAGAAAGCAACAGTTGGATCACGAAACAGTCACGGAAGACGAATTGGCCAAAGGGGTTGCCGAATCTGGATCCGAAATTGGGAGGTCCAAATGACGGATTCGAATCTGGAGTTGCAGGAATCGGGTTGGGAGGAGCTGAGGAGAGAGGCCAGGAAGATTGAGGGAGATCTTGATGTGAAGCTCTCTTCTTACGCTAAGCTTGGTGCTAGGTTCACACAAGGAGGTTCATTTATTCCAACTGTGATCTTAATGTGATTAGTTTTTCAATGGAAGTTGTTAATTGCTTAATTATGTGTTTTGGGTTTCGTTACTTCTGTGATTTGTGCATTGCATTTTGGTTATGGAAGGATTTGGATTGGTGGGTTGTGGTAGTCAGGCGAATTGTAGTGCTATGAAAATTCAGTTTGTAGGAAGCTTTGTTTATTGTGCTAGTTAGGAATAATGGGGGTGGCTTAGTTGCTAAAATTTGGAGGAAAGGGAGATAATGTATGTTTTTACTTTCTGTTTATCTGAATAGTAAAAGTTTAGTTTGATAGGTATTGTTAATTCGTAATTGTGAAGTTTGGTAATGGAGAATGGCAGTGGTTTCTTGAGTTTTTATGAATGAGAGAATTTTAGTTTCCTTCTAGTCAAACTGAGATCTTTTGTTATATATTTAACTATTTTAAAGGGTAACCATTGTTGTGATCATTATTGGACGTATGTGTAGGGCGACTGAGTTTCACATCTTTCGGCATTTGCATTCTTTAATAGAAGCTTTCGTGATCCTTCTTCGAGTTATAAACATTTTCTTAAACTTTGTTTTCTGTTATGAATGAAGTTGTGTTATAATGTTTTTTTCAATGCTTTTTCTTTGGTATGTTTGTTAACGATAAGTTCATCGCATTACAAATGGGATTTTTGACGACCAAATAGATAAGTTTTTCTATAAGAGGGATTGTATTAGTTGGTTGATACTAAGAACTGTTAAGATTTTAAGTAGGTTGCAGTGTGCATCTCAGGAATTTTGTTAATTTAGAAATCAAAGGCTGTCTTCTTATGGAGCTTTCAGTTTCATTTTTTGTTAACTAGACCCTTCTTAAGTGTTTGTGAAGAAGTAAATAAGCTAATAATAAAGGAGAGAATTGAGTTTCCTGGTTATCGCATGACATGAAAGCAATTGTTGCATGATGCAGGAGACTGTTAAAATCAGGATAGCTAACCCATTAAAGTTTTCTTTCCTAATGCTTTAACTTTTAGCTTCTGCTAAACATTATGGCCCTAATTTTGATTATTTACTATTGAAAGCATACTTATTATCAATGAATTAACCGCCTTTATAACAATATACATTTTGAAATCAGGTTATGTGGAATCTGGGTCACCATCTGTTAGCAGGTCATGGAAGTCCATGGAAATGGAGATCCAGTCGTTGCTTGAGAAACTTTTGGATATAAATGATTCAATGAGTCGATGTGCTGCATCTGCTACACCAGCTACTTCTGTAACTCAGAAGCTAGCAAGGCACAGAGACATACTTCATGAGTTTACCCAGGTTCACCTTTCTTGGACCTTCTACTTTTGGTTTTCAAATTTCTAGTGTCTTGTTCTGTGTTTTCTCCTCTGCTGCAACTTATAGCTAGCTTCAAATAGTTCTTCATATTTGGTGCATGATAGTACATGGAGATTAATAATCTTTGCATTGTTGTGGCTAGGATATGCTAGATCGTTTTACAATTGTTACAATATATAATTGCATGAAAAAACTAGTGTCAAATAGTACCATATTCTAAAATGATCTTGCATGTCATCAATGGTCCCAAACCATACACAAGTTTCATATTTGATTAATAAATAATTGAATAGTAATACTTGTGTACTGGTGGAATGATATAATTTATCGTTTTGGAGTTTCAATCCTGAATCTGACTTGACCTGGAGTTTGAAACTCTTGAATCATTTTGAATGGAGCAAGGTGCCTCTTAAAGAATCCTTTCTCAATTTGTGTTTTTGGCACAGCCACATGTATCTTAGGTTCATCCTTAATATTATTGAAGGTGTGAAACCTAGTCGCAAACTTCATTAGGCCCTGATTATAGACATCTAAAGCAAATCTTGCATTTTGACTCGATAAGCACTTTGTGAGTTGAGGTTGTCCCATTTGCAGCTTTGAGTGAAAATTTTCTTCTATTTATCCCCCGGTTTTTGGGGTGAGGGAGTAAATTAATGTTAGAGCTAGAAGCCATGATAAAAATGATCGTCATATTCATGGAGGTCTGGTTCAAAGGGTAATGGTTTTGTTCTTGAAGATTGAGCTCTGGTTGAATCGTAACCTTAACCTGAAGTTAAATTAGGTTCTGTATATATCAATTTTAACTTTTGATGAGGATTTAATAATCTGGCTTTGGTAAGACATTGGAACTTGATTTTCCCATCATTCAAATGGATACTTTTTCTGGAACATGCATGAATCATCTTGTGGTCACTTAGAATGCTAGAATCACCCCCTCCTTCTACCACTATTTGTATTTATAAAAGAGAATTTTGTTTTTAGCTTTGTTTTGTTTGACATTGATATATTTACTTCTGTAATTAGCATTTTACTATCTGATTGAAATCTTTTCCATTGTGAAAATGGTGATCGTCTCTTTAGGAGTTTAGAAGAATCAAGGGGAACATAAATTCATTGAGGGAACATGCGGAGCTTCTGACTTCAGTCAGGGACGATATCAGCGAGTACAAGGTGAGCATGGTTAGAACTCTGATAATTATTATAGTTTGCATGTTGTTTTTCCCTTTTTTTTTTTTGATACCTTTCTTGTCTTTTTGTCTTGATTGCTGTATGCTCTTTTTTTTTTTTTTTTTTTTTCTTTCTAAAATCAGGTTTGTTTTACCTCTCTTCTTGCAGGCATCTGGGATTATGTCACCAAGAATGCAGATACTACGGGAAAGAGCTGCCATCCATGGAAGTGTGTCACATGTAAGTTTAAGTGCTATTTGGGGATAATCACATGTTAGGTTATGAACCAACACAATTGCATTTTGTGCATTTCCCATGGAACACTTCCCCCTTTTCTTTCTAAAGTTGGGTCTAACTGAGGCTTATCGAGTCTACGGGCTACACAATTGGAGTTCCTCTCTTCCATTCCACGAACCCTTAGTATACAGATTTTACACCTTCAAACAGGCTGTAATTTACTGCAAAGTAGCAAATGTGAATGTTGAAGTGTTGAGGGGAACTCAAAGTTGAATAACAAACTGTTCACCAGTTAGGATACTACAGATTGAAAGTGTGCCCACAAATTTTCCTTGGATCGAATATCTGGCTACGTAATGCTTGTGATCCATTCCTTATGCCGATTTTCTTGTCTTAGAGTTAGATAATCCCCCAAGTCGATGGTATTGGAGTTACAAGTAGGATGTGCTTGGCCGGGTGATTCTGACATTGGTGGTAGATTTTTTTGCACTTTCTGGTGGGTGGTTTTCTATTGTGAAATAGTTTCTCTTTCTTAGCAGTACGTGCTTATTTGATGTGGAATATTTACGGGAGTAGGAATAGGATAACATTGAAGGTTGTGAATTGCCTTTGTGTAATCTTATTTTCAGAAACCTCATATTTTAGCTGCCCTCCAACCTGCAAATTTACTACAGTCAATTCGTGGTTGGAGAACCACCCACTGTTTCTTTGAAATTTAGAAAGAGGAAGAACATATTTGATCCTAGCCATTAAATGAAGTATTTTGGAATCTGCATGAAACCTTACATATTAGACCATATAGTTTGGGCCCGGAAAAATAAGAAGGAAAAGATGAACTTTCCCATCCAACCAATTTTGTTTTAGGATGGTGATTTGCTAGCTAGTTATCAACCATGGTTGGTCCCTTAAATCTAAGGTAGAAGGTCATACATGGTGGATGATTGTACCAAGATCCGAAAAGTAGTGCTTTAAGCTCCCCTAATTTTGGCATGATGCATCCTTTGCATCAAAGCAGCACTCATGACACTTTTTTTGAAGTACTCTATATTTCTACCAATGTTTTACAAAACTCGCCTCAGGGCGAGCCTAGGCGCCCTTGGAGGCGGGGCTTCACCATTTTCGCCTCTGTTTTGTGGGAGTGTGTGAAATACTCGCCTAGGCTTGTCGGGGCGCGCCTAGGTGCCTGAGGCG